TAAGGATCCATTAGCAGTTTCTATATGGGTCTGAATAGAGGGCCCCTCTTTCTGACCAGATATTGCTCTTGTAAAACCTGAGTGGTGCCAATAATCATGCTCTTAGAAATGAGAGAAAAGACATTTAGGAAAGAAAAGTTCCCCACGGCAGGTCTATGAGATGCTGAGAAAAGGACTGGATGATGACTGAGTTAGTAATTATCTGGTCCTCTTTTGTATATCCTCAGAGGTCTGACACTCTTCAAAAGCAGTGTACCTGCCAGATATGTGTAGCAGGAGTAAGTCCTCTGCATTTAAAAAGACTGGAGCTTTAGAAATCACATGGTGCTGTTTTTCCAGTTGGAATGACATCTGCAAAATGTCTCCAGGCTGGCAGTGAGACCTGGGAAAGACCTTAGCTTAAAAAGACCAAGGTCTTCCACTGCACCTGGAGCCATCTCCAGTCATCCTGGTCTATATCTCTCTATTGGACCCATGAGAGATATAAGGAAAATGTTTGTTCCCATAAATTTGGAGCAAACAGCTAAAGAAGTAACTAAGTAAAACAGGATACAGTAGTTCTTCTGTTGTTTTGCTGACGAATGTCAGTTAATCAGAACAAAAGATTCCATAAAATTGAAACAACTGCTAAAAGTAACTATGTAAAATAAGAAAGCTGGTCTTATCTTGTTTTGCTGATAGAAGTTAGTGAGTAGGACAAAGGTTAAGCTTTGCTTAGAGTGCGCATGCTTAATAGGCTTATAAATAATTAGCTTCTCCATCCTCAGGAGGACTAAGATGCCATTTTCTGAACATGGGATGTATGAAGAAGGAGAAGCGACATGTTAAGGAGTAAATGTGTAATAGGCATACTGGAAAGTTGTACACTCTGGAGTGTACAACTGAGTACTCTGGAGTACTCAGCCAATGAAGAAACAGAGGAGGGACTTTGCAGCTGGGATTAGAATAAATAATGAACTCCTGCGTTGGTACAATGTGCCCCAGTCCATAGGACACCCACAGTTGCAACTGCGTAATAAGCTGGGCTTTTAACTTCATCCCTCCTGAGTCTGAATGAGTTATTTCTCACAATCCTGATGGTTCTGGAGGAGACAGTGAGGCTGGTGACTTTGCACAGCCCTGCCTCACTTAAATCCAATTTACTCGCATGTCATGGCATCACCTTCCTGATGTCATGGTCCTCTTTGAGAACAAAAGACAAACAATGAGTCAGCCCCATAGGGAGGCTTCCAAAGACCTCTGGGAGTAGGAATATGGTCCACATAGAAAGTAGAATGCTGAAGAGGCCAATAGTGGGTCTGATGTTCAACTGGACTGAAACTGGGGAAAGATTATCTCATTCTTATATCTCGCTTCACAACAAGGGTTGTCTTTTAGGGTAGCTAGGTGGCACAATGGATAGAGCACCGGCCCTGAAGTCAGGAGGACCTGAGTTCAAATGCGGCCTCAGAAAAACACTTGACACTTACTAGCTGTGTGACCCTAGGCAAGTCACTTAACCCCAATTGCCTAAAAAACAAAAACCAAAAACAAAACAAAAAAACCCCAAAGGTTGTCTTTCAAATGCCATGTATGATAGTGAGGGGAGCATAAAGAAGAAAAGAATAATCAAATGAAGTAAAGAGAAAAAATGTGCAAGACATCTGAATTTGAATGGAAATAAATGTGAACATTTAGCTATATATTTTGGACAAAACCATTCTATGTAATTACTTCTCAGCATTGAGGTATTTTACAATGTCTACCTACACACACACACACACTCATCTTCATTCCTCTCCAGGCTGCACTCCTGACCCTCCACCCACTCTGT